TATATATTAGATTATAATTTTATGTAATTATAAAATTTAATGTTTAAAATAATTTAATTTATTATATAATTAATGTAATTAAAAATATATTAACATTATTAATTTATAAAATTAATTGTTTTGTATAAAAATAGTTTATTTAAATAATTGAAAGAAGAAAAAGAAAATTAGAGGCAAGTGAGAGCCATGTGGCATTGCAAAGTGACTTGTAAATATTGAAACTCAAATCTCACGTGGCTTTCAATTTCCTGACACAACAGTGAATGCAACTCAAATTGAAACCTGCGTATGGATGGTCTTATGATTTGAATATTTATTGAAGATGATTAAAGCTTATTAATTATGATCAATACTTTATATTAGGAAACAATCAAACTTTTATGAAATCACATATTTATCAAATTAAATGGACGGTTGAGATTGAGTTGTATTAGGAGATATTTATGGAAATAATGAGAGTTTATTAAATTAAATAAAGTTCATTAATTATGATCAATACTTTATATTATGAAACAATCAAAACTTTTATGAAATCACATATTCATCAAATTAAATGGACGATTGAAATTGAGTTGTATTTGTCATACAAATGTAATATATATATATATATATATATATATATAGAGAGAGAGAGAGAGAGAGAGAGATGTGAGTTATTATACAACCCTTTACAATTGTACAACCAATACAACTCAATCTCAATCGTCCATTTAATTTGATGAATATGTAATTTCATAAAAGTTTTGATTGTTTTCTAATATAAAGTATTGATCATAATTAATGAACTTTATTCTTCTTTCATAAATATTTAAATCATAATAAATGAACTTCCATCATTTTCATAAATATTTCAATTTATTGGGTTGTATTGATTGTACAAATGTGATGGGTTGCATTTGAAACAAACTCTCTCTCTCTCTCTCCCTCTCTCTCTCTCTCTTTATATATATATATATATATATAGAGAGAGAGAGAGAGAGAGGAGCGTTCAAATAAAAACCACTCAATTTGTAAAAACCGTGAAAACCTCATTCAACCAATCATAATTTTTCATTTTGTTCATATTTTTGTAATTATAAGAGGTTAATTAACCATTTTTATTGTGGAGAGTGTTAATCATGGATATTATCATCTTCATTATTTTAATTTTAGAAAAATACATGAAACAGTTTCATTAAAATTTCATTAAATATTATATGAAACAATTTCATAACCATATATGAAACAATTTCATAACCATATATGAAACAAATTTATCAAAAAAAAAATATTATATGAAACAATTTTACATGATTAAACAATTTCATGAAAAAAATTCATAAGAGTAAACAATAAAATCGACGTATGAGAATGGTTTTTACGGTTTTTACAAATGAGAGTGTTTTCATTTGATCGTTCCTATATATATATATATATATATATATATATATATATATATATACATACGGGGTTTAATTATTTTAAAACCTATAAAATTGTAACAACTATGAGAATTCGTGTATATTATGTCTTATTTTATACGAGGATTAGATTAATTGCATCCCTCTAAATTGTTAAATGTATCTTTATCTAATGGTTTTCTTCTCATACATATCAATATCAAAACTCACTTTTTACATTATAATTCATAAATCAACCTGATTTTGACATTAAAAGGTGCAAATAGCAACCCCGTTACACATTTTTTTTTAATCTATGACTTGGAATTAGAGTATTGATTAATATATTTTTGTTTTATAATGTATTTGTGAAACAAAAAACACAAAAGTATAAAATTGTGAACTAAAACGTAGGGGTTGCTAAACGTTTCTAATTTTAAAGTAATAGTTTACATTCTTATATTTACTTATTTAACTTACTTTATAAGACCATCCACATCCCTGCAATCCATTTACACTTTCAATTGTGCCACATCAGCTTTTGCAATTATCTTTCACACACCTGCAATTCACCTACAACACTTTCAACTGTGCCACGTCAGCTTTTGCAATTACCACCTACACACCTGCAATTCACCTACAACACTTTCAACTGTGCCACGTCAGCTTTTGCAATTACCACCTACACACCTGCAATTCACCTATACTTCCAAAAGTGGTCCCCACTACAACATTTATTAACTATTTTATAAATTATTTATATATACATTCTAATTATTTTTTAATTAATAACATGTTTTATTTTAATTCAATGTTAATTAAAACGATTAATATATGATATAATATAATAATTATATAATTTATTGTTTTAAATTTGAAACACGTCGACCCCCGAGCTAACGTCGACTGCTCGTCCAATGGGAAGGAAAGCTTCAAAAGATAAAGGTAACAAAAATCTATATCAACTAACTCTATCGACCGTATCGAAGAAGCGATGAAAGAACAATTCAATCTTGATGCTGAAAAAATAGAAGCAATGAACAAATATACGGAAGCTATAAAAGAACGAGAGAGAAAGAAAGAGGAACGAGAGAGAAAGAAAGAAGAACGGGAGAAGATGAAAGATCAACTTAAAAAAGAAGAATTGACAATCAGATTGATGGAAATGGATCCTTCAACTATGACAGACCAACAACGAAAATTGTACGATAAAAAAATCCGTCAACTTTTAGACGAATAAACATGTAATTTTATTTGTGTTCTTTTATTAATTATGCGTGATATATTATTATATGTAATTTTATATATTGGTTAATTGTAATTTATGTAATTATAAAATTTAATGTTTAAATTAATTTAGTTATATTATATTTATATTTTTTTAAATAACATATATACATGCATAGAATATTTTCATATAAGAATAATTAATATAATTAATAAATATATTAATATTATAAAAATTAATTTATTTAAATAATCAGAAAAAAAAACAAAAAAAAATTGGAGAAGAGGTTGGTGCCCACGTAGCTTTCAAAATGAATTACAAATTTTGCAATTGTGAGTCCTACATGGCAGCAAGCATCTGACAAAAATGTATTTGCAATTCAATTAGCAAGCCCCATGTGGGTGCTCTAACTCTTCTTCTTTTATTTTTTATTTTATACTTTTATTAGAATAAGATAAATAATCGTGTATTAATTAAAATACGTTAAAGAATTTGTTTCATTTAACAAATTATATTATCATTAATCGTTTCATCGATACTTTTTCAAAAATGTTCAAAATCAAATACTTTTGCATTTAATCATATTATTATATATCATATATACCTGGAAATTATTATTATACCCTTATACTTATTTATTTAATTTATTATATATTTTTTCATTTTTCATTTTTCATCTTTGCTTTATTAACATACATAATCATATATTACTTAAAAAATATGTTTTTTTTTTACAAATTACACTATCATAACCATCTCGTGAATACCTTCAAAATGAGTCAAATATTAAATACTTTTGGATTTAATCATGATTAGATATCATAATTACTACAAAATTATTTTTAATATTTACGAAATTATTAGTAAAAACTATGTTAATTGATAGTTTTAAATAATTGTTATACATAATATGAATAAAAACTAAGTTTATCAATCATATACATTTAATTAATTAATAATTTTTCAAAATCATTAAAATGTTTGAATTGTTATATTTGACTTTGACCCACTAAATTTTTCAAAAGGGTGACTCCACCATTTCAACACTGGATGAGTGGGGTGGCTTCACGTGAAAGCAAGAATTTTTAATGGGATCCGTAAAACTAATTTATGTTCATTGATCAACTTTATAAGTTAATAATCTGATGGTTTAAAGTTGTACGATGGTAATTTTGTGATTATTGAGAAGTCTTGTGACAATTTTGTGATTATGAATGTTCAGAATGTAGATCTAAATCCAAGAGTTGAGAATTAGTCTTACGAATCTCACGAAAAACTCTTGTTCTCAAATGATCTCAAATCTTGGATGAGTATGTATTAAATATAAACAATAAAGTGGAAGCTGGAAAACTTCTGGACCATATTACTCTTCTCAAATGAAGGGATCCAGTTTAGAAACCAAATAATTTTATTATAGTAAATTTAAATTATCATAAATATAATTAGTCTTTTAGAAATAAAATTATGTAAGAAGTTAAACATTTTGTGAAAAAACGAGAAGTTTCAATATCATATATGATTACGTTCTTTTGGATGTGTTTAATCATATATAATTAAACATCTATATATTGTCAATGCATCATGCGTATAATCATATATGATATTAAAATTTTTCATCTTATCGTAAAATGTTTAGCTTCTCATTTGAAACTTGCCCTAGTTTTTTAATCAAACAAATTATGTATGCATATATTTTATTCTCCTTAATTTGATGGTTATATTGATATTTTATCAATTTTTTAAGTAAATTATTAAATATACTAGTAAATTATTAAATATACTCGTACTTGTATATTTACTATATTATAAAGCGTTTATAGGCTCTAATTAAAATTCATATTTTCAGCTTATTACTACATGTGTATAACTTTTTAAAATCCACATTTGAATTCAATGAAACAAGGGGCGTTTGGGATTGCTTATTTGAAACAACTTATATTTTTCTACAAAAGCACTTATCAACTTTTTATAAGTCAGAAGGGTTTAACTTCTTCAAAAACTCCTTATTACCGGTTTGRCACCGGTATAAGTTGTTTATCCAAACACTCAAAAATGATTATTACCGGTGCCACACTAAAATAAGTCAATAATTTATATCGATAAGCAATCCCAAACACCCCCACAATATGATATACACATACAAATACATGATAAACATTAAGTCCTCCTAAGATAACATAACACTCCATAGAACTAATAACCAATCGAGAATAATAGAGAAAAGAACACGAACTGAGAATCAAGATTGAAGATTTAGGTTTTTGACTTTAAAATCAAGATGTATCACACTGTATTACGAAAATACCCTTCTAGTCACATCCATCAACTTTGTGATGGAATGAAGGTCGGCTACTTTTAAGATGCTCGGTAACATCGTTAAAGCGAAGAAATAAATAATAACTATTTTTGTTAACATCTGATTTTGTGGTACCTTAATGACTTGTAATTAAGCTGTTAAGAAAACAGAAAGTAGCCAAAGACAAAAATAAAAGAAATGTTTCCATAAAAAGACCACAACTATAGCTTGCAATTGCATTTCAGGGAAACTTGCACACCCTCAAAAAACTGAACTACCATATGCTGGAACAAGGATTTGCAGCAATCAATCAACTACTCACCAAAATTAACACCAATTCTGCAACATGTGTTGCCATAGAGATCTCCAGCACCCCAAATCAACAAACCTGTTTGTAATTTATGAATGAAATCATTAAAATGTTTAACAAAAACGACCGGCTTATTCAAATTAATTATCTCGAAAACCCATTGCAGATTGCGGAAGATGGTGTTTTGGATTTGGAATTCAAAAGTCAAATCCAGATTCCATAAACATAAAATGTATATATAAACCTCTAATATCAACTTAGGGGTATCTTACTCCTTTTTGCCATTAAGCTTTGTATGGATGAAGTAATAAATATGTTTGTTTGAGATAAGGGAGAGCGATGGGTTTGGAGGCAAAGAAAGAGGGTTGGATTATTTCCGGGACATTTCTGGTATTTATTTGTTTCATGTGGCTTAATGAGGACAAACGAGGGGTCCTGGCTTATTCCATACAGCCATTTTGGATTAATGGCTTAAATGTATGGTTGAGCGAGTAAGCCGCTCAGACCATCTCGTGAAGCTGTAAGTAAACAGTCCCTTACTCTTCAACAACTACACAAGAGAATTACAAGGTCTTGACTACAAGCATGCAACGATCTATGTATTATACACTTGTTGGCCATTCTGACCATTCGGTTTAAGACAAGTACCAATTTGCTATGCCTTTTCCTAGACCACATAAAAATGGTTTGTCGTTTATGCAGAACACTGATAATGTATCAACTTCCTCCTATTATTCTAATGAACACCAGACCAGGTAAAATCAAAACATGCTTCTTGCATCCATCGGGTGGTTACTTCGATGTGTTCATAAAAGCAGAGCAGCTATTGATGAAATAGGTGGATTTGTTACATATTACTATGATTAATAATTTGGGTTTGAAAGGAGCCAAGTATGAGAAGGTCAATTCAAACCAAACCAAACGAAACAAGCCTAAGATATCCCGTGGAGAGATGTACGTTGACCTGACCTCCACTCCAAAAGGTAGAGCGGTTGTTCCAGTGAAGACCCCCGGCATGTGCATAGCATGGGAAACAAAATGTGGACAAAGATCGTAAAAAGGAACATCCGCAAATAAAAAAACTTGAAAACAAGAAAGGCATTGCTGAAATTTGAACTTTGAAAGAAGAGTTAGAAGTAACCAACGAAAAACAACCATAGAAAACATATAAACGGAAGCAAGTACATGAAATCATAAGTACATAACCAAGGTAGGACGGACTACATACCCCTAGTCTATCTAACCTAGGATTCAGGGATCTAACTGTCGGCTCACTAACCCTATGCCCAACCTCTACCTCTCCAGTAAGGGTGCTCAAAAAACTGACCCCGGCCAACTCAGCCCGAAAAAACTCAACCCAAGGCAACCTGACATAAAATATTAGGCTAAATCGCATTTATTGGGATGGAATTGGGTTAGGGTAATTTGAATCCAACCCAACCCGATGAACCCAATGTCTTTCTATACTATGGATTTAATATGATCGTCAAGTCCTTAATTAATATAGTACATTAGATCAACCTTTAATTAGCTACATTCATAATTATATTAAAATTTCAACCGTAATTTTACTTTCTTATTTCCATGAACCTTCCACTTTTTTTTAGTTTGTTAGCCTTTTCGTATATTTTCATTTTGATTTCACTTTGTTTAAACACAAACATTTAGCTATTGTGAAATGATGTGCCAGAGTTTCAACCTGACCAACATGCACGATTTGGGTTAGGTTGTAGTTTTGCTTTGGTTTGGTTGAGATTTTTGAAACCGCAAACATTGGGTTGGGTTGTTCAAATGCCCTCAACCCGGCCAACCCAACCCATGTGCAGCACTACTCTCCAGATCCCTTCCTCTTGTCTAGGAGAGCTAAACATCTCCATCCACCCCTGGTCTGCTACCCTAATCTTCCGTCACCACAAACTCCCATCAAAGGTCATGAAAAATCCTATAAGAAGATGAATTGATACTCAATAAATGAAAAAGTAAAAGAATGGGTGGGCATGAACTTCCAAGGAAAAACTGCCACTTTCCAGACTAGCTGTGACAGGAGAGAAACCATGGTACCGATGATCATAGATCATTTTACCTCAATGATAGCAAGATGAGTAGATGACAACCCATAGAGCAACCAATGGAAATAAGCAACATGGTTACAACATCTGGTGGTTACCATTTTAGCCAGTTCCAATTCCAACTAGTTTGGGTTAAAAGATCCTTGAATCGGTGAAGTGGCATATGTAAGCCCAAAGCCAGACCAAACGAGAGTGGTATATCCCACCTGAAGGTGGAGTCTGGGGATGGGTGGGATGTATACAAACCTGACCTCTACCCCAAGGTGTAGAGTGGCAATTATTAGTGAAGACCCAGGTTTTGTGAAAAGTGTGCGAGAAAAAGAAAGATTATCCAAAAAGTTTGAATAAAGGCCAAGAAAACGTAAGTGATGAACTTGAGACAAAAAAAAAGGAAGGAATGCTGAATTTTGAAAAGAACCAAAACTCGTAAAAGCAAACACAACATAAAAACAAAAGCTAGTACAAGGAAACATAGCCAAGGTACAAACTAGACAACCCCCAGTGTGGTAGACTCGGTATAAAGTATAGAAGCGGTGGCATGGATAAAAACGAATTCGGTTACACTACCCACTTTGACATAAAAGTAGCATCTCTGCAGAAAATGCATGTGCAACACGAGTCTTACCCACTGCTAACTCGATCGCCTAAGGAAGTTAGGCCCCTGGCATGCTGACCCAATTAAGGTGGAGCCTATATGATGCAAATAAATACTACTTTTTCTTTCTTTAAATCCAGTCCTATAAATAATAGCTGCATTTTGTGCAACCCTCCTAACCACATACTAAATGGCTACAAGCAGTTAGTATCTCCCCGTCAATTTATAAGAACACAACCTGAACCAACCACCATATTTTTTAGCACTAATAAGTCTTTGATACTAAATTAGTCAGGTTATGTTTACCATGAGACTCATGAACGATTCAAAACTACTCTGTGTTGATACTCGTTGTGCACTGATATTCTTTGAAGTCTAATTTGTTCTTTTAGTATAGAGGAAAGCAAGCACAAATATTCTATTTATGGAAGCACGCCTTTAAAGACTCTTGGCAAAGAATATTTATTGTTGAGCATGCCTATGCGGAGAGGAGAGAGGGAGCTTACCTTCTTAACATGCACCTATTGGCTACTGATTCTTCTTTTGCTTGTGTTGTGCTGTTGGGATCATTTGTAAGACAATATCCGCTTGCCTCACGACTGTATGGACAATCTTGTGTGCTACTATTAACTTTTCATCCACCTGGGCCTGGAACTTGTCGTATAAGAAAGGTACAGATAAACTAAGAAGTACCCCTGAAATGCAATCAAGAATTATGACATGTCACAGGAAGTTTTATGCTTCAATAGCATACGTTATCTTGCAAATAAAAGCACAGCAACCAGCTCACCAATATAGATCATCGTAAGGAAGTTAAAAAAGCTACCGATATAAGAAATCAGCCATAAGCTAGATACAACCTGAAGAATCAAACACAAATTACTGGATTGTAAAAAAGCAATCTTTGCAAGCAAGTGGAATACAAAAATCTCAAGAAAATACCAGAAAAGTTAATGAGATTGTACCAAAATCAAAGCTTTGACGTTTCCATCAACTGCAATTTCATGTGCAATTAAAAAAGCATGATTTACCCACACGTGCATCTCATCAGCAGCAATAAGAACCGATTCCTCCGAAATGTCCAATTCAGGAATTGGAGGCAAGGGTCTACATTCAGGTACACAAAATATATTATTTTTGATCTACTTCAAATGTACATATAAAAATATAAACCAAGAACATATACTACATTCAAAGAACAAAACAGATGAGCCAACATAACCTTACTGAGCATGCATAAAAACTATACAAACACAACACCACAACCACTCCCCTGTAGCCAAAAGACTCTGGACAAATAATCTTGCTACTACAGTGAAATATTATAATTCAAATATGAAAAAGTACGAGGCTAAATTCCAAAGATATAGTCCACTTTGCTGAATCTGTTTGTTCCAAAAGGCCCATTTTGTGTATTATGACAGGCTTTCCCAAGTTTTCTGCTCCCAATTACATGTATGCAAAATTTCAGAAAGCTCACTCCAAGATCGCATTCATATATGTAAATTTCAGTAGGTGTGCTCCTATACTGTAATCAAGGAAGTCTTGATTTATGTAGTCTGGTTATACTATTTGCAGTATAATTTTTAACGCTAAAATGTAATATAGCTGCAATTCAATTGCTGATCCACAATCAATCACCAGAGACAAATGTCCAAATATAATATACGCTCGTCCAGAAAAAGTATAGACAAACCTATTGAGAAGGGATGCAGATTTAGCCCAGAAAAAGAGTATAACAACCAAAAGCAGTAGATTATTGGCGATGAATGCCAAGACGTTATATCCTCCTCTTTCAAATAGGAACCATAGGATGGTGGAACCGATTAGAACAACTCCTCCTCCGTAAGAGTTCCTCCATAACAATATATCAGCAACTGCACCACCAAAATTCGCAACAACGATTCAATTCACATAATCGCATCACGTACAAAAACTAAATCACAAAGATCGCGATCCCATTCCAATTATATCACAAAATGCATGTACACATCAAATTGACCAAGGAAATAACACTATTACAACGAATTGAATCATGTATCAGATTGACATCGATTGCAATTGGAAGGATTGTGTGTGTGTGATGAGATGAAAAGTGCAAAACAGAGGGAGACCTGGGCCGCCTCCGAGAGCGTCATGGACAGAAATCCGACCAAAATCGCCCATGGCGAGTAGGGTTTCTGACGAAGAAACAGACGGATACCAGGGAGAGAGGGAGAGAGAGTTGAGGGAGAGAATATGGAGGGGGTGGCTTTGTAAATTTTATCGGACCAACGAAACCAGTAGACTTTGGATCCGTACTTTGGGTGTATTTTAATTTCATTATATTTCAATATTTGTTATAAAATCATATAACATAAACTAAATTTAGACAACTATTTGGAGATTAATATAAAAATGTTTTTTTATTAACCCTGGATATTCAACCTACTATGCGAGTCGATTAATCCCAGAGCGACCATCTGCTTTGCAAATAGCCCGGAATCATCGCATTTGAATCTCTGTGGCCACAAGAAATTTTTATTCCTCCTTAGATTTAAACATGGGACCTCCTCGTACTTTTGATTTTTGGAGCCAAGCTTAAACCAATCAGACACCACCCTTTTGATTCTAAGAGAAATAAGTTACACTTCGGCTTTGAATATCATATTAATTACTTGCTAATTAATAAAATTTGAAAATTTAGATAAAAAGTTGATTACCGACAACCTCAATCGTCTTTACAAGGAACCTGTCTCCAAATACATCAATGTGAGGTTGCATTTTCCGGTTCACTAAGCGGCTGAGGTTAGCACCAGGGAGGGGGGACTAGGATCGAACCCACAACCTATCTTACTTGGGTAAAGCCGTATCGCCCCTTTATCAACTAAGCTACATGTCGAAGGTGATATGATATTCAAAGCCAAAGTGTATGTAACACCCATGATTTTTAGCTCCTTGTTTGAAGTCTATTCATGCTCATTGCACATTTTTGTTGGTTATTTTAAAGTGGTGGTATATAAATCTAACGAGAAGGCGTGGGGATCGCATCGACATGAAAAATGAAGAATTTGCACGGAACAGAGCTTTGCATGACTTCAGAGTTGCAACTTTCTAGGAGTGCAGGCGACTTTATAAATTTCGGAGTAAATGGCCTTCTAAATGCGGTATTCCATTAGTGGCTTTTTGGGGCCTTGGTGCGCGTCTTTAGTCGCGTGAAAAGTCGCATTAATTTAGGCATGCCAGCTCTAAAAGGTCCAATTTGGGGGTTCACTGCTCATTTCTTACCCCCATCCTTTCTCCTTCACCATTTTCTCTCTAGCTAGCTAGATTATTTTGGAGCTTTAAGTCCAATTTTGGATCTATGGAAGGCATTTCTTGGTGGTTTGAAGTTTTCAGAAGGTTGAAGGTAAGATCTAAACTACAATTTCTTGATACATTGGGTTTCGTTACCTTACACCCTCAAATCCCCTTCTTCTTTGATGTATTGAAGTGTTTTCCTTGATATTTATCAAATGTTTTGATTATTTGATGAAGTTTGCATCTTTGGTACATTTGATTTTATAAATCTTGAAAAGATGTCTGTATTTTAGGTACTTAGACATTTTGAGAAATAAACCATAAAAGTGTGGTATTTTAGTGATTTATTGCATAAATGAAGATTATTTGACGGTAGTGCTCTTTCAGTGTATTTGATCTTATAAATCGTTTAGAAGATGCATATTATTGTGTTATGTGACATTTTGAAGGTATAATTTGTATGATTTACATTTGGGAATGGTTTATCCCAATATTGGTGAGTTTTTTGACCTACTCATAATTTTTAGCATGAGTTTGTATAAACATCGGGTAAATGTATTTTATGACTTACTTTGACTTTTATTGAGCAGTCAAGTAAGTTGTGGAGTTTATTGGTTGACTTTTGGGCTTAAATGAGTCTTTGGGATATTTGTCCGGTTTGAATTGCTTCATGTTGAGCATTAGACTTGGTTTGCATTTATTAAATATTCATTTACATGTTTTGAGTGCATTGATCATTCATTTGTAGTCATGTAATTTAAATTGTAATGCATTGGATCCATATGTGAGTCGTGTTATGTCATTCTGGATATTGCATAGATAGACTTATGTAGAGTCAGACTCTGGGACCTATGAGTTGTTGATGCCATTTGGTATTCCGGAGGTGAACTCACATAGAATCGGACTCCAAAACCAATGGGTAGATGTTAGCTATTTAAGTAAGAGTATTTTGATGTTTTCATTATAATTTCTAGTGAATAGTCACCAAGTCAATTATCGAGAAAGCTTGTGGTGGTACATTGGAGTCATATACAAAAATTAGTGACTTGTGGGTGAGGCTCATCTAGAAAACGAGTAGGTATCATGGTCACTCTAAAGCTTGTGGTGGTACTCGTTGGAGTCATATACGGAGCTTGGAGCTTTAGAGCTTGTATTGGTACTCGTTGGAGTCATATACGGAGCTTGGGTCTTGCGGTGGTACTTGGTAGAGTCGTATACGAAGCCCATTGACCTTGAGAGATGCTCAATAATGTTTATGTACGGTTTACTTTGTATTTGCGACATTTGATTGATACGGTTCTCCCCCTTACTAGGTGTTGTCTTTGGATGGTGTATCATCCATGTTTTTGCTGTTTGTGTTGGGTAATGAGTGTATTAATAATTCATCATTTGGTATATTAGACCTTTTCCATGTTTTGGTTTTTTAAATAATAGAGTTTTATCAACAGTTTTAGTATTTGAATATTAAAAACCTTACTTGTATCTTGTGTGAGTATTGGGTCATAGTTTCATGCTAAATAGGTGTTTTAATTAATGAGTTTTGGTTAAGAAAATGGTGGGTTTTGGGAAAAATGTTGCTTTTATATTATATACATTTCATTTTTTAAAAATGGTGATTTAAATAACATTCGTTCAATTATACCGTTTTCATTTTAGAACTAGTCTTGAACTTGTGGCATTAGGGTGGATTTGTGGCTTGTGGCTAGCATCCAAGTAGTGCCGTTTTTGTTTATTAAGTGTTGAATGCAAGTATTGGAGATTTGGAACGAAACTTTCCGTGCAAGTTACTAACTCCTACAATATTGTTGTTCATTTCCTTACTTCACTTTATTGCTTTGAATTTAGTAACTTGTGCAAGAAGTTGCCTTTCTCATCTTTAAAACTTGTCTTTTACTTTCTATATTTTACCATCTCCGTTATTTACATTTTAGTCCTCACATCTTTGGCAAGAAGAATCTGAGCGATGTGAATTGGAAAGGTGTCTTAGATATAGAATTTTTCCATCTAACTATTCATTCACGTTATTAATATTTCATTGAAGATTACATATAATTAATTGACAACTAATTATATGTATGAAAATACGTTAGCTTTTAGTGAAAACTTGTTTTGATATGAGAAGGTCATAAAGAACTTTAGTACCTGACAAATACTATACTTCTACGGCGTAGGACAATAATATTATGTCGTGCTAGAATTAACGACATTTAACATAAATGATGTCGTATCGATGGCATTGGACCTGTATGAACTCTTGGGAGTTTGTTTGAACCGATAGTCAGATATCTGTCATAGTACGATATCACCATTTTATGTACTATTGGACTGTCCAGTAATGTTATAATATATTTCTACCAGATCATTTTATTTTCTCTTAACAAACATGTACACCCTTTGCCTTTTTCTTTTACAGCTGTTTTTTTTCCAATTCACACACATCAAACGAATTCTGCAATTTCACTATCTGAAATTGGTTTTTATACATTGGACTTTTGAGAAACTTTTACAATTCTTCCTTGTGAACCGATATTCGGTACTTTTATCGTTATTACTTGTTAAAAGACAACAATAGACCAAGGTGTATATTTACATTAAGATCTGTTTACATGAATTTTGAGATCGTATAAACTTCACATCATCCACCTATATTTGATAGACAAGATGGAATATGGACGCTCAATATATATTTGAATCAAAAAATGACAACACACTGTGTCATTCGAGTAGGGTTGTTGTTCGAAAACTTTGACAACATTCATATTACGAACATGATCCAGCAAATGCTACAACCATGTTACAATTTGGTAAGTTGTCAAACTCTTAGACGTGATGCAATAAATTTGTGGAAAACGTGTCAAAATGAAATGCAACAAATGTTTTCTCTTTTACCTAGTTGTGTTTCCTTAACATGTGATGCATGGAGCGTGTCACACGGTTCACCACATTCTTATATATGTATAATGACACATGGATTGAGTCGCAATCGTGACAATCAGTAAAACGTGTTGTCACGTTTGAACCATTTAGTGCGCCATATATGGGTGATTATATATCTACAATTATCAAAAGAAATCTTGCATTTTATAATTTATCTCAAAAAGCAGTTAATATATCTTTTGATAACGCTTGTAATAATACCACATGTGTGTCGAAATTAGTGTGAGCTATGAAACTTATTTTAAACAGTCAATTATTTAATACACGTTATTGTGCATACATAATCAATTTAGCGTCTAAAATGGTTTACAAGTAGTGAAACCTGTACTAAATAAATTTAGGCTAATGATACACAAAAGATGAAAAAAAATGCATACTTTGTATAGGAAATACTACGATGATGTAAATTTTAAAACTTCGGGACCGAACTTTGATATATGCCTGTTAGATGGAATTTAATTTATTTTATGATTAAAAATTTGTTAAAACAAAGAGAATATTTGCATGCATTTTATAATAATTATTATCCTTCTAATACTATTAGTATATTAGGGGTTGTTTGTTTACCTCTTAATAGTTCCATTAAGAGGCAACCTCTGAATCGTTAAGAGGTGAATCTTGTTTGGCAAAAAAAAGTTTGCTTCTTAATGGTTCTAAAATCCTCTGAATGATTTTGTATCATTGATCTCTCTTAACCATTAAGAGCCCTAATTCCATTGTTCACGATTACCAAACAATTATATTTCATTTTGCTATCATGAGAGTCTCTTAATCATTCTGACTACTTAATTATTCTACACTAAACCATTCAGCAATTGCCAAATAGCCCCTTAGATTGGGGAGTGCTTGATGGATTAAGGGAATGAGGATAGGGGAGCGGTGGTCAAAGAAATGAAAGCAAAATTGTAAAAATACTTTATAGATATCCTTTTTTTTATATGTGCCACAACGTTAAACTTGTATTTAAATGTTACCGGAGTCGAAGTTTTAATTTCAAAAATATGTTTGGCTTTTGGTTTAAGTGGAGAAAATGATGATTATGCAAAAGAAGGAACACGCAAATTTAATCGTAACTTTAAAGATTTA